CTTTAATTACTACCCTTTCCTTCCATCTTTACAACCTTTGATGTGCTGACAACACTTTCATCAACTTTCACACTTACCTTTGGCTTCTGGGGTATTACTTGTGATTCTTTTACTTTTCTTGCTCTTTAGTGCCTGTATTTCTGAAAATACACTGAATATCTCTTGCAAACTTCACATCCAACTCCATGCTCATGAACTTTCATACTTGTACATATCTGTTCCTTCTCCTGTTTTTGTTCCTCACGTCTATCATAAACCAGATTCCTCCACACTAGAAATGTTGACGTTAATCTTAAAAGCTCTTACTCTGCACATCCTACCTGATGTGTCCTGTTAATTTGGCCCCAGAAAAATCTCTGCAGTTAGTCCTGTTTATTCTCTGCTGCCTTCACTTCTGAATGTCTTTATTCACTTGGGCTATTGTAATGACCACCTACCTGGAATCCCTTCTAGTTTTTCATGTTGACCCATGCAGTCACTGGGTATAGCTCAGTGGTAGAGCACATGTGTAGCATGTGCAAGGTCCTGAGTTGGATCGCCAGAACTGAAAGCACAAAACAAAAACAAAAACTTATCTCATTCTGTCTCTAGCATTTTCATTTTTAACTTATACTTTATTTCCGGTGTTTCTACTGTCTTAGGCTCCTAGTGATTCCTTGTTGTGCTTATTCATGACTCTGTGTTTGGCAGGAATGGAAAGAGGAATTGAAGCACAGAAGACTGATTCAGCCCTGTTTGTGTGTCCAAGGAGAACTTCACAGGGCCTTAAACTGAATTTGAAGGATGAGTTTACCTTGGCATTCCTCTTAGCTTCTTTTGTCACTCCAGTTCCATAAGACTAATTCCAAGTTCTAGAGAGAAGGACATATGAGACCCACCTGTTCATGTTTTTGCTACATACCTTAGTGGGTACCTGTGCCTGTCCACCTTTGCCGTGGTCTGCTGTGGTGGAAATGGGAGCCAAGTGGTGTCACATATACTTCACGCAGGACTCGTGCTTCTGCCCCAGCTGGAGATTGTTTGAGAGTCAGAAAGACCAAATAAGACATCTTTTTTCATCTTTTGGGACATGGAGACTATGAAGAAAGTTACTGGACTAGTTGTTTGCTTTAGGGACTGTTCGTCATGTTTTCAGAACTTAATCAGCCATTAGCTCAGTTCTGATTTTTCTTTGGCATTGTGCAACCTAATGAATAATTTTTATCCACAAATTTAAAATGCCATGATGGTTAATACAAAAGTTCCATGAATATTTCTGGTTTTAATTCTGTACCAGAATAATTAGTGTTTGTTTTGATATCTAGTAGGACAAATATGAATTAAGTACACTTTCTCTCAAGTGGTGTTTGCTAATCTTAAAATGTTTTCTCTCATATAAACTTTTAGAATTAATATGTTAACCATGTATAACAAGTAAGAAAAATCCTACTAGGATTTTAATTAGGTTGTATTTGGTTTCTAGGTTTATTTTGGCAGAATTGCATTTGTTGTTGCCCCTCAGGAGCATCTCTGTCTTTGTAAATATTCATAGTTCCTGGTGCATATCACAGTAGTGCTTTGTGTGTGGATAGGTCTATAATATGTGTGTGTGCAAGTGCTTTCTTTTACAGCCAGTCAAATATGGGTGTTGAATTGCATGAGGTATTTTAAGTCATTGTGACTAAGCTTTTCTCATTTCATTTTCTAACTGGTATTAATACTGTATAGGAGAACTATCCATTTTTGTTCATGTAGTACCTATCTAGATGCATTAGTGAACGCTTCCTGTGCTTGGATGGTTTTTCAGATGATTGTTTTGGGTTTGTCCTATCTGTATCTAGTGATGATTTTTTGTCTTTCAGTATTCATACTGTTACCTTTTCTTATCATTGCATTGGCTATACCTGCAGTATTGTTCAAAAGAAATGAGTGAGAGCCATAAATGTGAGTCATATACGTAACTTTAAATTTCTAGTTGGCATCTTAAGTAGAATAAAAAGAAACAGGTATAATTAATTTTAATATAGTATAATATAAAATACTGTAAAAGTACATAATGAACATAAAAATTACTAAAGCTTTTAAAATCTTTTTTCATACCAAGTCTTTGGAATCTCCTATGTATTTTACTTGAAACATATCTCAGTTTTGACAAGCTGTATTTCAGGTACTCTGTAGCACCCTAACTAGTGGTTACTGCATTGGATAGCATGGGACTAGTTGCTCCCCCACCCAGTACTGGGGATTGAACCTTCACCCTGAGCTATATCTCCAGCCTTTTTCAATTATTCTGAGATAGGGTCTCACTAAAGTTACCCAGGTAGGGCTCAAACTTGCAGTCCTTCTGCCTCAGCTTACTAGAATGCTGGGATTACAGACATGTACCACCATGCCTGCCATAGAGAGTCTTCTTAGCAATGTATAATAAATACGGTCATAGTGGGCCTCTGTCTTACTCCTTACTTTAGTGGAAATTGTTTTTGAATATGATTCCTTTTGGTTTCTGATAAATATATTTTTTAAAAATACATGTTCATAATGGGGCTGTAATTTGTATGTTTTGCTGCTGGGCAGCTCTTATTTATTGAAATAAATCTATTGAATAAATATGTATATTTGTACAGTAATTATTCAAAATCAAACAACTAATTATATTTGGTCCATTTATAGATTTTTTTGTTAATTTTATTAGTATGAAGACTGTTAAAAGTGATTATATCAATTTGTACCACCAGTGGTATGAGTTGCCCTATAGAGCAATCAGGCACTGGTGCTTCAGGCCTGCAAAATGTATTAAAGTGGAGGAAATTGTCTTTTTTTTTTTTTTTTAAGTGGGGGAAATTTTTTTTTTTTTTTTTTTTTTTTGTAAGTTTCTTTTAAAGTTCATTGTCATTTACTTTTCTTAAAAAAAAAGTATGTGCATGTATGACTGACATGATTACAGTTGTTAAAAGTCCTCATGGAGAAGCAGCTTTGTACTTGGAAAAAAACATGCTTGAATGTGGTGCATTCTTTTTAGCTCCGCTGCATCAGATTGGCTAGTATTTGGCATAATTTTTTTTCTTATTCACTTGAGGTTGTCCTGTGGTATATCATGTTTTGGAATCATATTCACTCTTTTAAAATAGATGACAAGACCTCAGTTCTGCCTTACAAAATTGTCTTTAAGAATTTTTATCAAGGAACTTTTTAGAGTAATTTCTTAGCAAAGTGTGTTTGTGGAATATAAATTTTCTGAGCTCTTGCATATCTGAAAGTTTCTTTATTCTTCTTGCGCTTCATTGTAGGTTAAAATGAATTTTCCTCAGAACTTTAAGGTGTTTTTAGCTGACTAGCTTCCCATGTTACTGGGACATCTGATTCCTGGTTTGTCTGGCACATCCTCATATTGCATCTTTTCTTAATAGCACCTTCTTTTACTCTGAGAAGTATCCTGGTTTGTTGATCAGTTACAGAATCATATATTTTGTAGGTGACCTGCTTTTTTTGTTTTTGTTTTTTTGTTGATAGTGTTATCTGAGATTGAATCCAGGGCCTTCATTCACCTTGAGCTTCCTGTGTGTGTGTGTGTGTGTGTGTGTGTGTGTGTGTGTGTGTGTGTGTGTATTTAGTACTGGGGATCGAACTTAGGTAGGACCTCACACTTGCTAGGCAGGCACTGTGCCACTGAGCTAAATCTCCAGCCCTTGAGCTGAATCCCCAGCCCTATTTTTTTTAATATTTATTTGGAGACAAGGTCTCACCAAGTGCTGTGTTGTCCAGGCTTGGTCCAGGATTATATGCCAGGGCACCTGGTGTGCTTTTTGTGTTTTTGAGGGAAGCTTCTAGGACATTCTTGTATTTTGAGCTCTTAAGAATTTAGTAGGCGTGCTGAAGAGTAGTGCCTGTCATCTCTGGGGTATTTGGCAGAATGCTTCAGTTTCTCTCTTCTTAGAACTTGTAGTGGCCCTGGATTAATTTGACACCTTATTTTTGAAAGTAAGAGTCAAATTCTTTGTTCAATGTAACTCTTTATTTTTGCCTTTCTGGGAAGTAGTTTCAATATCATTTTCTGATACATATATTGATTTGTAAATTTTAAGTGTTATAGTTAATTTCCAAGAGTTTTCTTCTATTTTCCTTTTATAGAGCAGTTTGATCTTAGTTCATGGATGTTATAGACTCTTTTTATTTGAGACTAATTGAACATGTACATGTTTAGAATTTTTTACTATTTTCCTGTTTTATTTTCATTGAGGTTCCTCCTCCCCTTTTCTGTTTGTTTCTTTTATAAAGATGGTTTTCTCAACTATCTGGTTATCCTAGCTTTTGTCTGGGTTTTAGGTTCTGAAATAGCTTTCCTGTTTGCAGTTTCTTTTTCCATCAGTTGTCAACATTGGCACTGGATTTAACATTGTGAAACAAGTCTAATTTGTCTTTCTGTGGGATTAAAAATAGACTTTTGAGAGACCTGGACGATGTCTCAGCCACTTAAGCACAGTGTACCTGTGCAGTGGCTGTGAGGGACTGCTTTTACTTCTCAGGCCATTCCTCCAAACCAGCAGATTCATGGCTTCTCTTGTAGTAAAGGTAGGCCAAAAGTTTGAATCAGTGTTACTGGGTGGAAACCTAGGTGTCAGCAGAACCTTGCCCCGCTTGGAGGATCTAGGGAAGGATCCATCTCTTGCCTTTTCCAGTTTGCAGTGCCTGCCAGTGTTCTGTGTATCATTTCAGTCGTAGGGCAGCATCTTCACACCTCTTTGTTCTCTCTTCACATTATCTCTTCTGCGTGTATCAAATCTCCCTCTGCCACTCTTTTATACGGATACTTGTGTGTTGGTATTTAGGGCTCATTGGATAATCTAGAATCATCTTCCTGTCACATAGTCCTTAATCACATCTGCAAAGATCCTTTAAAACATTTGCAGATTCCAGAGATTAGAGCCTGATGCCTTTGAGGTCATTTATTTGGCCTATGGTATGTACTTAAGAGTTTTCTGTAATTTCCCCTTTGCTTATTTATATACCTAATGTTTTTGCAGATACTATTGCTGCCTGCAGTTTGTGTTCTACTTAGACAAAACAACATCCGTCCACTGTGCTCATAGTGACTTCCATGAGCTGCTCTTCCTCCTCCCAGGTAAGATTGCATTTGTTTGTCTATGTTTTTAGCATTATCTTTGTGCTTACCTAACAGTATTAGAGAATTTACATGGTAAAACTTTTTCTTGTTGGCCTTTATTTACAGTGAACTAGGAACCTACTGAATGTATTGTGGTCTTTTTCAGAATGAGAGGCATCAGGTTGGGAGATGTTATTTAGTAAATATTTGTTAGAGTTCTTAACATTTATTGAGGGCCACTGCAATGCTGAGGCTTGTCACAGTGGACCATTTAACTAACACAAAACAAAGTAGGCCACGTAAGTGCCAGACACTCTCCAGGGCAAATTTCTTAAGAAGGATTTGTTAGTTTTAGGAATTCACAATTCAGCTTTTGGTAGGTGTTGCCAAATTGCCCTCCAAATTGGTTGTGCTTCCCCTAAAATGCCAAGAGCTATCCTGGTCCTGTATCCTTGCCAACGCTTGGGATTTTTTTTCATGAAAAAAAATCTGATGGCAGAAATGGTACTGTTTTAATTTGTATTTTCTTGATAATTAGTGGGACTGGCCATTTTTTCAGTTAATAGATGTGGATTTTTCTGTGAATTTTCTGTTAATACACACACACACACACACACACACACACACACACACACACACACATATATCCCTGTTTTAGAAATAGATTTTGACTATGTCTAAAATTAATAATCATTGTTCTTTATGATAATGATCATGAGTAAATTCAGTTTTGTCTTTTTGAGGTTTGGATGTGCCTTTTTTAATAGATTAATTTTTGTAGAGCAGTTTCAGGTTTATAGCAAAATTGAAAAGAAGCTAGATTTCTCATGTACTCTGTATTCCAACTCATAGCTTCCCGCATTTTCACACCCCCCACCAGTGGTATATTTATTACAGGTGATTAGTCTACACAACATATCATCAGCCAGAGTCCATAATTTGTATTAGTGTTCACTGTATTGGTGGTGTACACACCGTGGATTTGAAAAAATATGTAATGCCCATGTCTGCCATTGTAATAGCACACAGCATATTTCACTGTGCATCGCCTGTTCATCTCTCCATATGTTCTGACTCCTGGAAACTACTGATTCTTTCACTTTCTCCATAGATTTGCCTCTTCCTGAATGCCATGTAGTTGAAATCATGTAGTAGTATGTGGCCTTTCATATTTGCTTCTTTCATTTAATAAATGCATTCATGTTTCCTTCATGTTTTTTTAAGGCTTTATATATAGATCCTTTCTTTTTAGCACTGAACTCTGTTGTGTGGAGCTCAGGTTATATGTTCTACTGAATGATGTCTTTGTTGCATCTAAGTTTGGCAATGACAAATAAGGCTGCTGTGAGCATTTATGTTTAGATTTTTATGTGGGTGTATTTTTCACCTATTTTGGGTGCACACCAGTGAGCATGATTGCTGGGTCATACACTGAGTATATTTGGTTTTACTGCCTAGTTGTCTCCCAAAGTGGCTGTACCATTTTGTATCCTTGGCAGCAGTGAATGAGAGCTTCAGTTGCTCTTTTTATTTACCAGTATTTGGTATTGTTAGTATTCTGGATTTTTGCTATTCTGATGGGTTGTATACTTGTTTGGGAAGAGGTTACATGATAAAATATCATTTTCTAGTGTGATTGATTGTGCTTCCAGAAAAACTCTTGAGAAATATTCATTTGAGTTTTGACTTCAAGGAAAAGTTGATATTTGCCTTTGATTAACTAGATCATAAATATTTCTTTGTTAATGTGTTTGTTTTGACAGGTATTGATCCAAAGAAACGTTTTTGAATGCACTAGGACTTCCTACCATTGTCAACTGGTAAAATATTTGATTTTTTTATTACAAATATTTCTTTATGCATAAAATGTATTGTTAAAACCAATTATGAACCAGGTGTAGTGGCACATATCTGAAATTCCAGCAGTTGGGCAGCTGAGGCAGCAGCATCACCAGGACTTTTAAGGCCAGCCTGAACTACATAGCCAATTATGGTTAAATTTACAAAAAATTTGAAATTCTTTTCATTTATTATAGAATTATGAGTTATGAGAAGATATTTTTATATTTAATTCCATACCAATCTATTGAGCATTACACCATGTTGTTTAGTAGTGTTGTCTACCTTCTTTTCCTCAGTTTGGATTTTGAATATTTGTATAAGGGATTTGAACTCAGTAACTTCTTTATTTGATAAAATCTAATTGGACTGGTAACATTTGTCATGGGGCATAAAAAATGTATCATAGGGCTGGGTGATAGCCCAGTGGTTGTCTCACTGTTCAGTGGTTCCGCCACCTGCCCTGCAATTGCAAGGACCTGAGTTAGATCCCTGGTACCAAAAAAAAAAAAAAATGGATCACAGTTTTATCATTTCCTTGCTTTGCTTCTGATTATTAGTTTGTAGGATTTTAGGGCAAGAATTTTATGATGAAGTGACCTGAAGGTTTTTAGCATTCTGTGTGACACTGAAGTAAACTTGGATAGGACCTTTAGAAGGAACATCACATGTTGGTAAATGTGTGTTTGTGCATGCACACGTGTGTGCATGTGTGTGTGTGAGACTGAGGACTGAATCCAGGCTCTTCACACTGAGTGACATCCTCAGTCCTTTTTAATATTTTTAAATTCTGAGACAGGGTCTTGCTAAGTCACTGAATTGCCCAGATTGGGCTCAAACTTGTGATGCTGCTGCCTCACACTCCCACATTGCTGGGATTACCTCACCTGGCTGACATGTCCTTCAAGGATATAAAAGCATTCAATGAACATTTTATCCAATAGAATCATAATTGTTTATGTTTATCTTTTGTTTCAGGAAATTATTTAAAAATCTTTGTTCATATTGGTTGTAATTACTAATTTTTACATTTTTGACTGATCTTTAAAAAAATTAAGATAGTATGTTTATTGTTGAAAACTGCAAACAGTGTAGGAGTTTATGAGTAAGTGGGGAACTTCTCCGTTCCTCTGGTTCTTTTGTGAAGGATTACCCCTCCCTCAACAGTATGCAGTGTGGCTGGGCATGGTTGTGCACTCCTGTAATACCAGCACTCCGGAGGCTGAGGCAGGAGGATCCCTGTGAGTTCGAGAGCAGCCTGGGCTATAATAGTGAGTTCCAGGTCAGTCTCAACTACATAGTGAGACCCTGTCTCAAAAAAACCAAAAAAAAAAAAAAAGAAAAAAAAATGCAGTGTGTTCTTCCCTTACAAGTTTTTTATGTGCATACCAAACATTGACTGATTATTAATTTATGTATATTTTGTGATACTATGGATTGAACCTAGAAATTTGCCAAGGTCTCCCAGAGTGCTGACAGGTGTGTGCCACAATGCTTGGCTAGGATTACCTTCTTTTAACAAAGCAGATGTGGTAGAAAAGCAATATATTTTGCCCATTGATGTGCCTTTACTTTTTCTTTGACATTCCTGGCCTGTGTCAGTATTGATTACAAATACTATATCCTGTCCATGATTTTACTAATTTAAATATTTGATTGAGTAGACTTCTAAATTTTTTAAGAGTAGACAAGTTTTGATGTCCATCAGGACTTGATGGCTTATTAGGATTGTGTTTTGCATTCAGTTGGGAGCAGAAAGTGTTGTCGATATGTATAGATATCACTGCACTAGAGAAATTTTTAGTTTTATATCACAGTGACTGTTTTGTAGTGTGGAAGGAGATGGGAACAACAGCAAGTTTTGTTTAACAGGAAAATAAGTCTTAGAGTTGATACAAATATTCTTCATAGTTACTTAAGGTAGGTCCCTTTCCCTCTTGTTTTCTTTTAAAAAATGTAATCTAGTTTTTGAATACTGAAAGCTACAAAAGCCAGAAAATAGTACACCACAGAAGAAAAGAGAGGAAAAATAACTACCTTACTTGCTTTGATTTTGAAGCATTTTTTTTTTTTAGGAAAAGGTTTAGTAATAAAATAGTTAAAATTCATGGGAAAAGAGAACACATTATGTAAAGAGTTTAAAAAAGAAAAAGAAAGCAAATAATATTGTATGGATAAAATATAAGACCAGGTTTTGATTAAGAAAGTAATTGCATGTCTTAAAAATTTATTACTATTTATTTTTCTCTTGTAGTGCTGTGGATTAAACCCAGAGCTTCAAGTGTGCTGGCTGAGCACTTTCTTCCCCAGCTGTCCCTTGTCCTAATTACATAGTCAAGCCCTCTTCTTGGCTATTGAACTTTAGTACAAATGAAGGTGATACGTTGTTAGCTGTAGTGCAGATTGTTTATTTTGTAGCTTTATTTTGTCTTTTCTCAATTAAGTTTGTTTTTTAACTGATTTGCTCAGGATATGATTAAACTAGCCTTTGCAATAAGAGAGAAGACAGGAGGAAAAGATTAGGAAACACTTTGGAAATCTTAGGAAGTGATATGTAAATCATTAAAATAAAATGGAAAAGTATTCTGGATAGATTACAAAATTATTCTAACACTATTGTAAGTTTTACTATTTTTTAAAATGTCACATTCATTTTTATTCTTTTGCAGTACTGGGAATCAAACCCAAGGCCTGGTGAATGCCAAGCACACACTCTAGCATAGAGCTACATTTACAGTCCATGCAGCATATTGTTTTAAGGATGTAAACAATTTATTTTTATTTATTGAATGATTGATTTTAATTGTCTTTAGATGCACATAATGATAACATTCGTCATAGGGAATTTTTACCTGTACATGATATATCATGTTGCTTCTATTTTTCCTATTCCTTCCTTCCTCCCATCAACCCTCTTCCCCTCCTTATTTACAGAAGCTTTGTTTCCATTTTTTTCTCTGTTCTTTTTTTCTTGACCTTCCCTACCCCCTTGTTCCTTTTCTCATTTGAAAAATTTCTTCCCATTTACCAATATCTATTATATATTTTATTACACATTTTATTTACCCTTTCAGTTTCTCACACCAGAGTAACAATGCAGTATTTACACATGTGTGTCTAAATTATTTCATTAAGAGTATGGTCTTAAGCTTCTTTATGGAAGAGTAGTACTCCATTGTGTTAAAAAAAAAACCCCACATCTTATCCATTCATCAGTTGATGGGCACTTGAGCTGTTTCCAAGATTTAGCTATTACAAACTGTGCTGCTGTAAACATGGGTGTACCTATATCGTTGTGGTATGATGCTTTTCATTTTTTTCGGAAAGATATCAAGAAGGAGAATAGCTGGGTCAAGTGGAAACTCTAGTTTTAGTTTTTTGAGGAATCTCCACACTGGTTTCCACAGTGGTTACACCAGTCTACACTTGCACAACAGTGGAGAAGGGTTCCTTTTTCCTCACAGCCCCCACAGCATTCATTATTGGTTGATTTCTTGATAATAGCCACTTTTTCTGGAGTGAGATGGAATCTCAGTGTTGTTTTAATTTGCAACTCTCACATGACCAGTGTTTGAAAGTTTTTTTTTATATTTACTTGCTGTTTCTACTTTTTCATCTGAAAAGTGTCTGTTCATTTTCTATCCATTTTTGAACTGAGTCTTTAAATTGGGGGGGAGGGTCCTGATTTTTTTTTTTTTTTTTTTTTTTTTTAGTTCTTTATATATTCTAGATAGTAGTTGTTTAAGGAACAGCTGGCAAAAATATTTCCCACAGTATGGGCTCTCTTCACTCTTGGTGGTTTCTTTTGCTGTGCAAAAGCTTTTTAAAAAGATGAGTTCCCAGTTGTTGATTCCTTGTATTTTCTGTGTGATTGGGGTTTGTTCATAAAGTCTGCCTACACCAGTGTCTTCAAGAGTTCTACCTATTCTATCTTCCAGAAGATTTAGTGTTGCTGTTTTAATATTTAGATCTTTGATCCAGTTTGATTTTGAGTTGCATGCATGGTGAGAGGTATGGATCGAAGTTCAATTTTTGGTTATGTGGAAAGCCAGTTTTCCCAGCACCATTTATTAAAGAGGCTATCTTTTTTTAGTGCAGGCCTGTTTTTTTTTTTTTTTTTTCTCCTGCTAGTGCCATGCTGTTTTAAATCACTGTAGCTTTTTAATATAAACTTATGCCCAATGACTGGCCAATATTGCTCAGAATTGCTTTTCTTATTCTAGGTCTCTTCTGCTTCCTAAATAATTATTTTAGGATTGCTTTCTCTAGTTTTGTGAGGTATTCTTTTGTATTTTGATTGGGATTGCATTAAATTTATAGAACAGTTTTGGAAGTATAGGCATTTTTACTGTATTGGTTCTTCCTACCCAAGAACAAAGGATATCTTTCCATTTTCTGATATCCTCTTTGATCTATTTTTTAAAGTACTGTAGTTTTCAATGTAAAGGTCTTTGCTTCCTTAGATTGATTGCTAGGTATTTCATTTTCAGGGTACTATTGTGCTAAATTCTCAGTGAGTTTATTTGTGTACAGAAATGCTATTGATCTTTGAGTGTTAATTTGGTATCCAGGTATACTACTCAATGTAGTTAGTAAATCTACAGGTCTTTTGGTGGAGTTTTTGCGGTCTTATATGTAGAGTATAATGTCATCCACAATAATGATAATTTAATTTCTTCCTTTCCTGTCCTTATTCCTTTATTTCTTTCTCTTGTCTTATTGTTCTGGCTAATGTTTCCAGAACTATATTAAATAAGAGTGGTGGCAGTGAACATCCTTGCCTTGTTCCTGATTTTAGAGTGAAAAGCTTTCAGTTTTTGTTCGTTTAATATGTTGGCTGTTGGTTTATTATAGATGGGTTTTATCAAATTGTGATAAATATCATCTGTTGTAATTTTCTGTAAGGTTTTTATCATGAATGAATGTTGGACTTTGTCAGATGCTTTTTCTGAATCTGTTGAGGTGATCATATGGTTTTTTTCCTTTGGCTCTATTAATTAAATTATTTATTGGTTTGTGTATGTTGAACCATCCCTACATCCTTGAGATGAATCCTGCTTGATCATGGTGTAAAATATTTTTGATGAATTGATGCATTCAGTTTGCCAGTATTTTACTGAGGATTTTTGCATCTGTGTTCATTAGAGAGATTGGCCTGTAGCTCTCTTTTTTTTTAGTTGGATCCTTCTCTGGTTTTGGTATCAGGGTGATACTTGCTTCCAGGAATGACTTTGGGAATATTGCTTCCCTTTCAATTTCATCAGAGTTTGAGAAGTAGTGGCCTTAGGTCTTCTCTAAATTTCTTACAGGAATTCAGCAGTGAATCTCTCAGGACCTAGGCTTTTCTTTATAGGTAGGCTTTTAATTACATCTTCAACTTCATTGACTGATACTGGTTTATTTAGAATTTTTATATCTTCTTGATTCAGTGTTGGTTATAATATGTATCTAGGATTCTGTCTATTCTCTTTTTTCATTTTATTAGAATACAGGTTCTTGAATTAGGTATTGATGATCCTTTGGATTTCTGTAGGATCTGTTGTGATTTCCCTCCCTGCCTCCCTTCCTACCTCCTTCCCTCCCTTCCTTTTTTTCTTTTTTTCTTTTCTTCTTTTCTTTTTTTTTTCTTTTCCTTCTCCTCTCTCCCTTTTCCCCCTCTCCCCTCTGTCTTTGTACCAGGGATCAAACTCAGAATTTTGCATTTGCAAGGCAGGCGTGATGCCACTGAGCTAAATCCCAGGCCCTTTTTCTTCCTAATTACATGGATTAGAGTCTTGTCTTTCCTTTCTTTGGTAAGATTGACTAAAGGCTTGTCAATTTTATTTAATCTTTGGAAGAACCAACTCTTGGATCCCATTGATTCTTTGTATTATTTTCTTAGCCTCCATTGCATTAATCCTGCTCTTATCTTTATAATTTCCTCCCTAGTATGAACTTTGAGCTTGATTTGCTCATGTTTTTCTAGAAGCTTGAGGTTTACCATTGTTTGTATATTTGACCTTACTCTGTTTTTCTGGTATGGGAATTCACCACTATAAATATCCATCACAGTACTGCTTTCATTATGCTCCATAAGTTCCACTATATTGTATTGGCATTATCATTTCATGTAGAAACTAATTTCTTCTTTAATTTATCTTTGATCCATTGATTTTTCAGGAGAGTGTTATTTAATTTTCATGTTTATGAAGTTATTGTGGTTTCTTTTGCCATTGATTTCCAATTTCATTGCACTGGTCTGATAATAAATGTGGGGTAATTTAGTTCCTTTGCATTTACTTAAGTATGCTGTATGAGGTGGTTTGTAGTCTGTTTTGGGGAAAGTCCCATGTGCAGTTGAGAAGAATGTGTACTTTAGTGTGGGAATACTCTGTAGACATCTACTGTAAGTTCAGTTGTTCAAAAGTATGGTTCAGTTCTAATATTTCTTTATTGATTTGTTTTCTCTAGTTGGTCTATTTGTGACAGTGGGGTATTGAAGTTAAAAATTCTAATATTCTGTTCTTGTGTTCAACTTCTGGAGTCTTGATTATTTTATGCCTTGGAATAGATTTTTTTTCCTTTTGATCATGGTTAATTGGAGTTCTACATGCCTCACTTACCTGTATGTCAAATTCCTTTTCCCTTCCTGGGAAGTTTTCTTCCATTACTTATATGAATAGTTTTTTGTTTTGTTTTGTTTTGGTCATTTGTGTTATCTCATGCTCTTTCATTGACTCTGATCAGTCTTTTGTTATTCTTCTTTGCATCATCTAACAGCTGTTGGATTGATTTTTTTGTGGTCCCTTGCTATTTTTAAGAAATCTTTCTTTTCATGATTGCTAACCACAATCCTGTCTTCTGTATGTGATATTCTGCCTCACTTTGTCTCTATGTGCTGCCTATACTTTGAGTGAAATTTTTAATCTCCTGGATATCTGTTTGAATCTGTTTCATGGGTTCCATTTTTTTCCTGTGATTGGTGTTCACAGTTGCCATCATTTTCCTATGTTCCTCTTATTTTATCTGTATCTACTTTAGAGTTACTAACCATGTCTTTTGTTATGGTCACTATCTTTGTAGCTATCTGAGAAATCATTTCTGATTGACTTCTAGAATTTCATTCATCTGCTTTGTTACTTCTCCTGTTACCACTTCAGAGGGTACACGTGGGGTGGCTTTTGAATTCTTCCATCTCATCGCTCCCTGTGTTTGCCTTTGGTGAGTTGGAAATCTGGGTTTATATCTTGCATAACTGTCTTCTCATTCTGTCTATTTTTTTAGTTTAATTCCTGAGTTGATGCTTGTAAATTGTTTATGGCAGGTTGCTAGTATTGAGAACCCTTAGGAAATGACTACTTTTTAGAGATGTCTTCCAGGTGTAGCAGGCTTTTGGGTTTTGAGTCTGTTGCAAGATCCTACTACTTCTTCAATTTATTGGGGTTGAGAAGTTGCAGCTTGTTTAGTCTAGCCCCTGGTTCTTTGGCACTGGCCTATAGTATTGTTTATGGCCCTTAGGCATTTTCAGTCTTGGCATACCAGTAAGAAAACTGATTAGAACAATTTATGTCACCTTGACTTAAGTAGGTTAATCTGCAATAAGAATAGCATCATACACAACCTAGACAAACTGTGGTAACTATTAATTTGCCATCTTTAATCATATGGAGTATATTTTTGGTTATACCACAAAATCTAAAATAAACCAAAAAATTGTATACAATAAATATGGTGATTCTACCCTTGGGAGAAAATTTGAAAGGGGTTTGGCAAAAACAAAACAAAACACAACAAAACAACAACAACAACAACAAAAAAAAACTAAAATAGAAAAAGAGGAAGAGATTAGAAGCAAGGCTGGAGGACAGAGGAAGATTATGTAAACTTTGGGAAACTGGTGAAGAAGACAGGAATGAAATAGAGAAGGAAGAAACAAATAAGAAAACAGAACAATAAAAACTAGAAACAGTGTTCATATTAATATAAAAAGAACAATCAAAAACAAAAAGAAAAAAAAATGTTCACTACAGGGTGTGTCTCTGCTTTCACTGGTCAATAGAGTTGGCAGACAGAGCCCAGATCTATGTTGATTAATCCCAGGAAGCCAGCCAAGGATTTACAGCAGGGTAATGGATAATAGCAGCAATCCTGCACCTTTAGTTCCACTGAAGTTCAGACTGGTTTCTTGTTGTGAGGCTAGGTTCAGCTTTCAGCTTGCAATACGCTGTGCCTCCTGCTGGCTTGACCTTGGCACCTTGACCTACTGCCTCCTAGAACTTCATTGCACCTACCCAGACACCATGTCTCTCTGATTTTGTCCCCCCCCCCGCCTTGCTCTCCCTACTTAACTACTGAAGTGTTTGTGGATATTTAGGGTTAGTTTAGAAAGACTGCCTGTTTACAGTATGATGTGTAACCTTTTCTGAGTAATTCCATTGATAATAAATATGGTACAATGAGCCCTTTAGAAATATAAGGACATTGCAGGAACCCAGTATACAAACTCATACTTGACTGAAAAAATAAAAGTTCATTTTCTTAATATGAAGAATTTTTCTTTAAAGTTATTTTTAAATGATTTTAAACTAATATCTTTTGTTTTCTTTCTTATAGATTCTTGTTGAAAACTGTTAATTCTACTTTTTGAACACTTATGAATAACCACGCATCTTCCAAACCATCTACCATGAAGCTAAAACAGACCATCAACCCTATTCTTTTATATTTCATACATTTTATAATATCACTTTATACTATTTTAACTTGTATTCCATTTTATTTTTTGTCTGAGTCAAGACGAGAGAAATCAAACCAAATTAAAGCAAAGCCTGTAAATTCAAAACCTGATTCTGCATACAGATCTATTAATAGTTTGGATGGTTTGGCCTCGATATTGTACCCTGGATGTGATACACTCGATAAAGTTTTTATGTACGCAAAAAACAAATTTAAAGACAAAAGACTCTTGGGAACACGTGAAATTTTAAATGAGGAAGATGAAGTACAACCAAATGGAAAAATTTTTAAAAAGGTAACACGATCTTTTCATTGGCTTTGAATTCCTTCTGAATAAATGAACTCTTAGTAGTGGTGAAAAAGGGACATGCACAGCCTGCTTCTGTTGGAGTTTGGTGATAATTCAGAAGACAGCATACCAGAGGGAGGCTAGACAGTATTCGCCTGTCTCTGGATACAGCAGCATTAGAAAGATCCTGAGAATGCCCTATGGTGTGGGGCCCTTCTGAACTTGGATGTCTCTCAGGGCTTGCAATAAAACATCTAGGCTAGTTTTGGTTTGGATGTGATCTGCTGCTTCTGATTTTATGTCATCTTTTTTTAAGACTTAAAGTAACCCAGTGAGTTGGTTTTATCTCTATGGAGTATAGTATTCAGGGTTTAGGTAATTTATCCAGAGGTATTATAGCTTCCAAGTGGTGAAGTTGGGACAAAAATCCAGTCCTTTTGGCTTCAGGACTTATAGTCCTTAACTAATCAGAGCTGTCAGAGTTCCTGTGATGTTTGGGTGTGTGTATGTACACTCATGTGCACATGTATATAATGTGCATCTATTTTTGAGGCATATTTTCTTATAAAAAACTGAATTTTTTCTACCCAGTTAACTTAAAATTGGTATTGACATAATTTATATTAAAAGAAAATGGATCTCTAGGCCAGATCTGTGGTTTGGTTAATGTATACCTCTCCTGTTGGTTTTTCTTCCAAACTTGTTCCTCTCCCTGCCATCCTGTTTGTGATAGATACCTCCTTCTTTGGCTTTCTAGTAACAAGAAGAGCTCTGAGTTTTTCATTCCATAATTGTGATTATCTGGAGTTTCCTCATGGCTAACACAGAAAAGGCAGATCATGTACCAAATTGCTCAAGACAGAAAACCCAGGAGTCTCTGATTCCTTTCCCTGCAACAATGTGCAAAGAGAAAGATCAAATGAAGCTAGATGTACTTTGTTGAAGAAGACAGGAATATGTGTAATTTTGAGATAGTTCTATTCCAGATAGTGAAAGGGGAAAAAGCATCCTAGTAGTTAAAGAGGTTTGGTTCAGCTATCTGAAAATTTGTTCTTAAACAATCATTGTTCGGAATCCTGAAGGGCTAAGTGTTTGTGTGCTTTTATTTTACAATGTTCTGTATTTTTTTTTTTTTTGAGGTAAGAGACCATTATCAAAGCATCTAACTTTCTGTGTCCCTGAAAAAATTATAAATTATTGAGTTCTAGCCAGTCTTATTCTGAGTGGTGACATTGATATTTATTCACATGTATGTTACACCTACCATAGAATGAAAATAGAGCCAAGCGTTAGAGAGGAATCTTTTTTTTTTGTACTGGTGATCGAACTAGGGTCCTTGTGCTTGCAAGGTAGGCAGTGGAACCACTGACCAAATCCGCAGCCCTCAGAGAGGGATCTTGAAAGTCATCTTAATCCTGCTCCTAAGTTTCCAGTGAGGAAAATGCTTAAAATTCTGTGACAGTGATTCACATTATCATGCTTCCAGCAAAGTTGAACTGGCTTGACATTATCCACAAGGGTCAGGTGGGAATAGTTAAGAGCTAGAAGGCCAAGGATGAGATTCACTGGTGATCAGAACAAAACAAGTTATGGTAGTTGAATATTCAGATGGATATGGCTTTTGTTAATTTTAAAACCAGCATTTTGAAAAATGAAGCTGCTAGAGAAGGAGGAGAGAGAAGACTCCCTCAGGCTCAGGTTGAATTGAAGTTGTGGTTAATTTCACCACCCATGGTTCTACATGTTTAGCGAAGAATTGGTGAGTGCCTTTAACAGTCATGAACAAGACACACTGGTTATTCTTGTGATCTTCTGTTTACGTGGGAAGAAGAGAGACAATAAAGATGTTAACAGATATAATGTGATGAAATAAAACAAATTGGTGACAAGAAAGCCTGTTGAGTAGATTACAGTTAGATTGAGGCCTAGACAATAAGAAAGAACCAGCTTTTTGAAGATGTGGATGAGCTCAATTGAGGTATTTATGGGGCAATTGAAGAAGGTACCTGTCTAATCCTACCTCATCCTGTCTGAAGAGTGAAGAATGAAGTTGTATTTATAGGAAATGAGTAGGAGAGGTTTTGAGAGGCTGAGGGAGAGTCTTGGTGCTTTAGGTTCCTTGGAGCTTGCTGGGCCAGGGTGAGGTAGTGAACTCCACTGCCACTACACAGGGATGTTTGGCCATTTGGTATGAGTTCAGGGGAAGATGGACTAGGACAACAGGAGTGGAAGCAGAGAGAAATGGCTGGCTTGAGGGTATATTTTATAGATACAGTTGATAGAAATTGTGGATGCATTTCGAAGTGAGCTGTGAAGTTGAATGTCATGGAGAGTTACTCCTGTTTGGTATAGATCAAAGAGGGAGCGGTGCTGATTAGTACCCTGTGCTGACGTAGGAATGATCAGAAGAAAAGGTGAAGAAGGATGAATGGTGAGGTTGTTTTGGAGCTTGCTTAGTTTAATGTGACAGATAATCTTAGTTGAACAATCAGATATAAAAAAAGGTTGTATTGCCACATGGATGTGGTTCTCCGTGGCAGTTGGCTCTCCACATGGCAGTGGTTAGGACTAAAGGTGGAAATTTGGAAAATTCTTTGAAGCAAAGTTGATTTTTTTTCAGAAATACTCAACCATTTGGAATGCAGAGTTAAGTACAGATATATGCAGTTATTAACTGATGTTTTAGTTCTAATTTCTCAATGAAGTATTGGGTAATGTAATTGCCTGGAAGTAGAAAAGAGAGACAAGGTTTCGAAGCTATTTCAGAGGGTGAGAAAATGAGTATTCTATGAAATGTAATAAGTTATGAGGTGGGGATACATTTAGTGCTGGGTTTAATAATGTTAGGGTTTTTTTTTTTAATACAGCAGTGTTTAACAGTATAAACAGAAAATAATAGTTTAATCTTGGGTTGGACTGACTACAAGGTTTGGACTAGAACTTTACAACACAAGTCAGGTAAAATTACAGAGCAAACAGGGTCCTTAAGTATAATCTTTCAGAGAAAGGTTATTAGTAAAAGACTCAGTGGTTTAAAGATTACAGTAGGAAAACTGAGATTTTAGCTTATGTTTTATTTTTATATACTGTAAGAGTATGAAATCTTGCACTAAATCCAAGTTTATGATTTGATATCTTTGCCACACGGTGGCATTGTCACATTAGTTTGCTATTTGGAATATGTATCTAAATGCCTTTTTAGAAGGTCTGTGTCCTCTGAAATCATGTAGCTTTTAGAAGCTAGAAGGGACTCATTCTTTTATTTGAAGTATGTAATTTTTAATAATTATAATCCAGTTCTTGTACTTTTTGGCCCAGTTCTCATCTGTCTTCTCACCCCCACAGAGCTCCTTTTGAAGTCATTGGAGCTCCTTGAACTGAGCATTTCATGGGGGTGCAGAGCAAGGTGAGAGTTTGGGACCATTACAGTTAAATAAGTATCCTCCAGCGTACAGTATTTATTTCTTAAATTTGTCATGAATAGGAAGGACACTAGGGGGCAGCATTATATTTTAGTTTTTTTTATATTTTCATTTTTTTTTCATACCAACCTCTGCTAGAAATCTCTTGAATGTTGTGCTTGCATTTAAAAAATGAATATGATGTTTTTAAGGTGTCTGAAACATGTTAACAACACAGTTGTGTTTGGAACTGTCTGTATATTTTTGCAGAGACTTCTTATGTAATCTATATGTAATACGGGGATTTGTGGTCTCATCTAGGTTGAAAATTCCCAAAGACAAAACAAACTCACAAAAAAACCAGTGGTTCAGTGGTTCCAGCACCTGCCACATGAGTTCGATCCCTGGTAACAAAAAGAAAACAAAAAACATATGCACACACAAACACACACACACACACACACACAAAACAAAACAAAAAAAGCTTTAAAAGGAGGTTAACACTGACAGAAACTTGATGTTACCTGCACTTCTGATAAACTTAGTTTCAAATGTTAAAAGCCCAGGGCTGCTAGTGAGCATGTAAGGCTTAAACAGAGGATCTGTGAATAACATAACTAGTCCCTTCTTAGTTGTACAATTACAATCTCATCTACTTTCTTATCCAGATTCACATACAACAATTTTAATTGAATAGCCATAGGTATTTCTTTTAGATTGGGTAGCAAGGCCAGTTTAGTTTCTATTTCTGGATATATTATACTATCTGGTGTTGAAATCCAGAACTTTCTAAATAGAGGGGAAATAAAATATTGGCATAGTAGTGGTTGTAAAATTTTAAATTAGTACCTGAATTGTTTAAGTACAGGAAATATATGAGTGAATTATTATTATATGATTATTTAGCCCGGAAGTTGACCTTTAAGAACTTGTCAAATTCTGAATATTTTTGAAAACCAAAAATAAAGATCCTCCCTAAATGTTTTAAGATTTAGCATAGTTTAAGTTGTCATAGAAAACATCACATAATAGCTGTAGATTTTTCACTTGAAACTCAGTTCCTAGCTTTTTAAGAAAAAGGTTTTATGTAAATGTAACTTTTATTGTAAAATAAGGAACATTTTGATTTTCTATAAATTAATATTTTGGTTATATTAAAAGCTATTTGTGCTTTTTGTATTTTATCAGGTTATTCTTGGACAGTATAATTGGCTCTCCTATGAAGATGTCTTCGTTCAGGCCTCTAATTTTGGAAATGGCTTACAGATGTTGGGTCAGAAACCAAAGACCAACATTGCCATCTTCTGTGAGACCAGGGCCGAGTGGATGATTGCTGCACAGGCGTGCTTCATATACAACTTCCAGCGTACGTGGGCTTATGTCATTTGGGAGAGATGGTATTTTAGAAATACTGTTCCACTCTAATGGTTTAAAAATTTAATTTTAGTTTTCACATTGATTCCAGTTCGTGGAGAATTGTTAGTGCTTAAAATTTTTGGTCTCTAGTATTTTGGAAAAGGAACCAGTTGTGGAACAAATTGTCTGAGTCAAATGTAGTGAGGGGGCTTGAATCTGTTAATAGAGGACTTCCTGGTTCTGGGGAACCAGACCTACAGGGGGTCATTGCCTTGTAGCCATTTCTTTTGAGTCTCCTTTTGAAGTTAATGCCACATCTGTGAGTAGCAGTAGCTGACCTCTAAAACATCTGTGGTAGAACCTGGTGGACTTCAGAGTTATAGGTTACATGATTGAGAATCTTACTGTTGTACTGATTTGAGTGGTGACCCAGATGACTCCATCTGTGATGCAGTCCTGGGAGCTTAGAGGCCTTGGTGCCAAAACGGTATGATAAATGTAATGTTACCTTCTTCTGAAGATGGAAAAGAAAAGGACTTTGGGCAGATTTCTCACTGTCTTTTCTTCCATTGTTTCTTTTAGTGAAGCAGTACTTTTTATTTTTTCCTCACAGGTTTGAGTTAAATTCATTGTTTTGAGTTTTAAAAATCTGTGTATTTTTATTTATTTATTTATTTATTTTTCTCATTGAGTTTATTGGTACATTTTAGGTATACAGTACAGTTACATTCATTATTGGCATCTTGTACCTTTACATGACAGGTCTTGGTTTTCATTTTTTTCCCTTGTCCCTGCCCTCCCTTCAGCCCCTCCTCCCCTCCCTCTTTACAAACACTTCATTTCCGTTTTTTCATTTTCTCATATTTTTTTTCTTTTCCCTTATTAGCTTTCCCCTACCCTTCCCATTTTCCCTACACCTTTAGCCCCTTTCACATTGTCCTTAAAATACTGGAAGAATCTTAACATTAAAATACTGAAAATCATGGGAAAATTTGGGGAGAATAAATTAGTATGATGATTAATATATTAAAATAATTTTAGAAAACACAATATTCTTAATATTCTTTTTTGTGGACTATGAATTAACAGTTAATATTCAGAACATTTCTTTGTGATTCATGTCCACCTGCAGAGGTATGACTTTTGGTAGTTCAGGAAGTGTTTGAGTATCTGACTTGTGTTTCTTTTCCTTGTAGTTGTTACATTATATGCTACCCTAGGAGGACCAGCCATTGTTCATGGACTAAATGAAACAGAGGTGACCAATATTATCACCAGTAAAGAACTGTTACAAACAAAATTGAAGGTGAGGACTACAATTTATAGCTGTTTGATACTGAGAGTATTTACAGTGATGAGCCTTATTACCAAGAGTTTTCACATATATTCCATATATATTTAGACAGACCAGAGTTACACATTTAAAATTTAAAAAAATTAATTAATTTATCTTTTTGGTTCTTTGAGACACGGTTTCACTATGTAGAGACGTCAAACTTGTGACGATATTCCTGCTTTATCCCCCCATGTGCTGGGATTACAGGCTTGCTTATCATACCCAGCACATTCTAAAATTTTGAGACAAGATTTACTCAATTGCACAAACTACCCTGGAGCTTGCCATCCTTTTGCCTGAGCTTCTCAAGCAGCTGGAATTATAGGTGTGTGCCAACACATCTGGTAACACACATGGCAGATTTATAAATTGTGACTATGCCAGTGTCTAAACTGAAGGGCTTACAGCTTTTGCTTTTATTTTTCTGTTTTCTAGTTCATTTTGTATTTTAATTTGTATTTTTTTTTTCTAGGCAACTCCCTCTGAAAACAGTAATATCTGGGATTTTTTTCCCACTTAAAGTTTTCAGTGAGTTCTCTTCCCTCCTCCCCTGTGTTCCTACTTGGCTTCCTGAAAGGATGAATGTACTTTAGGCAGCTTGATTTTCATGCCCATTGTACAAGGCAGTAAGTTTTTATTAGGATGTTATGAAAGAATAGGAATATGCAGCAAATCTAATGCTATAAAAGAGTAAGTTAAACTCAGACCAAAATTTCTACACCTAGGGAAAGTGATCTTTTCATCATTCCCTCTTGCTTTTTTTTTTTTTTTTGGTACTGGGGATCAAACTTGGAACCTTGCACTTGCAAGGCAGGCAGCAAGCACCACTGAGCTAAATCCCTGGCCCCCCTCTTGCTTTTTTGAGTCAAGAAATTACTTTTAAAGTCACTGAATATGGTGAACCACTTTGAGTCCCAAACTATTCACTAACTTGTTAGAAGAGTAAGAAGTGTGATGAGTCCTTGTTTTTCCAGGATATAGTTTCGTTGGTTCCACGCTTGCGACACATCATCACTGTGGATGGGAAGCCACCCGCCTGGTCAGAGGTCCCCAAGGGCATCGTAGTGCACACCATGGCCACAGTACAGGCTCTGGGCACAAAGGTCGGCATGGGTACGTCATGTCTCCCTCATTCCTTATACCCACCCTGCAGTCATCTTGATTTCCAGGGTGACTCCAATGATTTGATCCTGAAGTTTCAGTTGTCCTTTCACTTGGGGATGTGAGTTCTTCTAGGAGCACTTTTATCCAACCTTAAAAAAAAAGAGCTGAAGGAAAAATACTAACATTAACTTACTAATACACTAAAAGTATACTTATTTAAAATGAATTTAAAATACTTTTTAATAACATTTAATTCTCCTGTTTTCCTTTTTTCTGATAGCTTTAGATAGTTTAGCTTTATAAATGATGTCAGTAAATTTACCCATTTGAATTATTATGAAATTATTATGAGTATTAACAGATAACAGTAGCTAAATCTGGAGCCCTTCTCCAGTCTTACCCTTTTCAGGGGAGACAACTTTTTATCCTCTAATCAGCACACCTAGGAGTAGTGACCCTGGAAGTTAGGACTGTCAAGCATTAGAAAATGTTAGAATACACAGGTGCTTTGAGATATTGCAAAAGAGGCTGGGATGCTGGACTGCATTTCCTCTGTAACTGGAAGTTTTGTGGTTAATCAAATGTAAACACTCATTTTGTTGAGAGCCAGGGTTGTGCTGACATTGCTGGTTTTATGGGGCTCATGTTAATTTTGGTCATGTTGAATTTTATATGGTGGTAGAGTACTGAAACGTGGATAGTTTGTGGGCATTGACATCTAGTATTCCTGGGCTAAGTTCGGAGTTAAGAGATTTGGAAGCTAGAAACAGGTTTCCTTATAACAAAGTGAGATCACCCGCAGAGAATGGTGACCTCAAGCCACCAAGGGACTGACTGGTGAGAGAGGAAGAAAACATGCTATGTATCTGACTGAGTCATTGGCAGACAGGGTATGCAGAGGGCTCAGATGATGGAGAGCTTATAAAAGGATCACCACACTGAGCAGATGGCATCTTAGAAAGGGCAGTGTCCTAGAAGTGGTGGGGAATGGTGCTCTGGACTAAAGGAATGAATGGCAGCTGCAGAAATAAGGGCTTGAATGAAAACAGTTCACAAGAAGTCTGTCCAGATAGGTAGGAGAGAAATATATTCTCTTGGAAATATGTTTAAAAATTTTTCTAACAAGTTCACATCTAGGGTAGTTCTGAGATTCACACAAGTCAGTGAGTCTTTGTCTTTTCGCTGTGCTGCCTCTTTAGCATGTTGCTTACTGTGCTTACGGCTGTAGTCTTATGACTGAAGTTGGGTGATAGTATCATGGTTGGACCCTGAGCATACCAAGTGAACTTCACGTATGTGAAACATAACATTTTAGCAAGTATCGAGGTACCCTAAGCCAAGCCTTTTTTATTTATTTCTTAGTTGTCTAATTCTTTTATGGCCAAACAGCAGCCAAAGTCAGCCAAAGTCATAGATGAGGACAACAATGCTTTCTATCCCGAGGGCCATGTGTGGTCCTGGCTATGTTACCCTCATTTCCTGTCCTTTCTCTGGCGTGCCTCCACTCCCACCACTTTCCTTGCTGGTCTTTACATATGCCAAGCACATTCTTGGCTGAGGGCTCTGGCACTTTTACTTATGCATGGGATACTTTCTTCCTAATTTAAGTTTTCATGGTTTCCTCTTTCACTTTATTCAGATGTTTGCAAATATGACCATAGCCTTTTCCATCTAAATAGCACCTACTATTGTTTACCTTGTCTTTGTTTTTCTTTGTGGCTTGTATTGTATTATGGTCTTAGCTGTCTTTCCCAGTCCTATGTATATCCCTTATGTGTTGACGACTCTGTATTTTTGTTGATGTAACAAATAAATGAGTATTAAAAAAATCGGTGATAGTAGCTGAATTTCTTAGAAGTGTTTTTCTTTTCTTCAACATAGAAAACGAACCTCATAGCAAACCGTTGCCCTCAGATATTGCAGTAATCATGTACACAAGTGGATCCACGGGAATTCCCAAAGGAGTCATGATCTCACACAGTAACATCATTGCTGGGATAACTGGGATGGCGAGAAGGATTCCAAAAGTGGGGTAAGTTCTAGTAGAATAATACTGCGCAGTTCAGTGTTTACATCCATTGTTGTAATGTTAACATTTGTGTCATTTCCATAGTTTGTGGTTAAGTTACTCTTTCAATCTTTTTATAGTAGACATTTCCTTTAAAAAGGACACTAAAATTTATTAATTATAAATTACATCTACCTTTTTAATTGAATTAGTTGTAATTCCTTAATTTAAATTATTTTAATCAGTTGGAATTGTTTTCTTGCATGTATAGTCATTTTTATATCTAAATGCATAATCTATCCAGTAAACATTTTATTGAGCTTCTGTATTTGTAGTCTTGGATTGTTTTGCAGGCAGATTCCAATAGTGGCAGGGGAGAGTATAATGGATGGAGTAGGAAGAGACTGCTAGAGGACAGGAGATAAAAATTTAAGAGATTGTAAAGGAAACATTCTTACAGATGCAATCAGTATTATGCTGACCGATCTGATATAGATGTTGGATAGTTTTGATGAAGAAGTTACATATACACACACATATAAGTTGTGGCTTGAACTTGAGGATAGAGAAAGAAATTTCTCTTCTGTATGAACTTCAGGAAAATACTAAGTAAGCATAGTTACCTCCTGGCTTTGCTGCAGCTGTCTTTATATTTTAGGGGTGGGGGCAGTTCTTGAAACATGCACACACATGCATACATATATAGCTTATATATTAAGATATAGTTGAGCCAACACCCAGAACATGCATCTCTTAATTAAAATTTCGGTCAGATTCTGGAACTGCAGGTTCTAATGGGCTCCTTCTGGTTGGTGGCCCAATAACTCTAAAGACCACATCTCCACTGTTACAGTTTGGGTCTAGATGTCCCCCCAAAGCCTTAGGCAGCCATAGGTGGGGCTTTTTCAGAGGTGACTGAATCTAGAGTGGGTGATTGATTCATAGTGCAAGCTAGGATTGAGGCTGAGTGATTACTGAATCAGTCCACTGATTGGCTTGGCACTGCTCTAATTCTGGTATCCTGGATACAAAATAAGGGACAGAAAGAGTCTTGTCTTGCTCCTCTTGCTTGCTTTGCTACCTTCTGCCTGTCATGAACTGCTTCTCCTCTGCAATGCTCCTCTGCCCTTCCACATTGCCTTGGAGCCTGCCCATAATGGATTGAAACCTCTACAAACTGTGAGCTAGATAAACCTTTCCCCCTTTATCTTTGGGTGTTGGGTATTTTGTCTCAGCAATGAGAGAAAAGTACCTAAGACATCCTCCTTAAATGATTTCTTTTGTCCTTCAAAAGAATGGCTTTCCAGAGTACTCACTGCCTCAGTGTTGGGTGGAGATGTAGTTCCTGCTGTATCCCCAGCATCTCTCTATATTGTCTCTTTTTCTCCTGACCAACAGGGAGCCCAGATCGATGTCCTGAGGGCCCTTGCATATGTCACCAGGCTTGCTCCAGGTAACAGTCATTTTGGTAGAGAGCGCATCTGACTTTTGCTTCTTGTATTGCTCTTTTCCTTTAGAGAGGAAGATGTATACATTGGATATTTGCCCCTGGCCCATGTTCTAGAATTAAGTGCTGAGCTTGTTTGTCTTTCTCATGGATGCCGCATTGGCTTCTCTTCACCACAGACTTTAGCAGATCAGGTAAATGTCTGTGACTTAAAATACTAAAGACCTTATTGTTAACATTTTATTTTTCTGTCAACTTGACATTATATTGTAAGAATAACAGTTACTTGTTTAAAAATTAGCTCTTTAAAGTGATTGTTAAAATATAAGTACATTAAATGATAAGTTTATAATATGCTCTTTTGATCTAGAAATTCCATTGGGTTTTAAAAACAAGGATCACATTAGCTAGGCACAGTGGCACACACTTGTAATCCCTGCTGCCCAGGAGGCTAGGCAGGAGGAGTGCAAATTTGAGACCAGCTTGGGTAGCATAGAATGCTTTCTCAAAATAAAAAATAAAGGCTGGGGATCCCCAGTACTGCAAAAGAAACCATAAACAAAGCAAAATAACTCAGTTTTTATGTGGATCACTTTTTCTTTCTGTTTTATAGTCTTCAAAAATTAAAAAAGGAAGCAAAGGGGATACATCCATGTTGAAACCAACACTGATGGCAGCTGTTCCGGTAAGAATTGACCATTGTTTAAGACCAAGTACTAAGTCATTGTCGGTAGCCACAGTTGACAAGGCAATTTCTGTAAGATTATCCCATATTGATTATTGAAACTGCTTTAAATTTCATTCCTGCTTTATCTTTTTATTAACTAACACTCATCTGTGTTTTAACTTCAATATGATACCAGTTCCTTTCCCTAAACAGCTTCTTGTTAAAGTCATTTTCATAATGCAGTATCTTGTTTGGTGGTGAGTAGAAGCCTGAAGCTTAGCAGGATGTAAGTGGGAGGGTTTGAGATAACTTTCTTCTATACAGATTATAAAATTACCTCCTCAGTTCTCAAGGAAAGTCTATCTTGATCACCAAAAAGGGTGACCAAGAGAGGCTGTTGCAGCTGTGAATGACCTGAGAAGCACTGGCATCCTAACATGAGAATAGAGGGTGTGGGAGTAACAGAACAGCAATGGGATGGCAGTGGAAGTGTTGGGAGTGCTTCTTGGGTACTCAAATGCTCCCATCAACCATGACTGCAGTGACTCTAGAGTAGCAGTAGTTTGAAATTTGTGTAAATATAATTATAGTGCCTTAAGTAGTGTCCTTCTTTAAATCAGTAGTTCACTTAGAAATGAATATCACTTAGAATTCTAGAGGAAAAAGTATTTTGTCATTAAAATATAATTCTTGGTAACAGACCTAGCAAACAAAACACAGTACAGGCTGGGTGTGGTGGCGCACACCTGTAATCCAGCACTTGGGAGGCTGAGGCAGGCGGATCGCTGTGAATTCGAGACCAGCCTGGGCTACATAGTGAGTTCCAGGTCAATCTCAACTACATAATGAGACCCTGTCTCAAAAAACCAAAAACAAACAAACAAACAAACAAAACCAGCAAAAGAAACGTTTCCTTTTAAAAGACAGCCAGACCCCAAACCACAAAATGCCATGATCCTTTTATGAGCAAAGTTATGTGGTACTTCTGTGTCTTTATAAGATAAAGTTAGGAGATTTTTTTTAAAAAACTTGTTTCAAATAGTTGATTTAGTTGTGAAATTAATTTTTCGTTCAGAATTAGTGAAGTAAATAAAGCAATATAAAGAATCTCAGTGGTACATTCCTGTTGTGAGGTGTTTTTATCTTTCCTTCATATGTATACCTAAATATATTCATGCATGTACCTAGATATGTTTGTGCTGTTAAAATTATTTTTTATGGCAGTTTCATTTTTAAATTACAAGAGATTGTCGCTGTATTTATAAAGTTTGGTCCTGGCAGACTATATCTTTTAGAATGCCTTAATATCAATAGAAATGTTAATTAGATGTTAATATTTAAATATTTAAGGCAGTTATCAATTATAAGATCATTTTTATACATCTAGGAAATCATGGATCGGATCTACAAAAATGTCATGAATAAAGTGAATGAAATGAGTAGTTTTCAACGGAACTTGTTTATACTGGCCTATAATTATAAAATGGAGCAGATTTCAAAAGGGTATAATACCCCACTGTGTGACCGGTAAGTAATGGCCTGTATGCCAGCCTTCTTTCCTCCCTGCTGCCCTTGATTAGTGAATGATTTAGTTCACATTGGCAGCCCAATACAGTGAGATTGTTACAAGGAATAAATACATTTTTTAAAGTCAAAGGCACTCAAAAAAGTTAAAGGGACTCTTTAACACCTTCACGATGGGGCTGTAATTCATATGTCTTGCTGCTGGACAGTTTGAATCATCCGTGATACATGCATGACTGTACCATTGAGAGGCTTTTCATTAATTTTATTAGTAAAAAGACCAATACAGATCTGTTTGCACCTCTAGTGGTACAAGTTGCCCAGTAGGACAATCATCCTTGTACCATTGGTGGTTCAAGCCAGTGGAGACATGTTAAAATCCATGTTGTGCAAGAATTTGAAACTTTTCACTTCTAATTTTGCAATTTTCAATATTGTGCTTTGTCTGATGAGAAAAATTAGGTGAGTTTAATTACTTTGCATTAAACTTTTCTTTGTTTTTAAATTTACTTCAATATGACTATAAAATGACGTCCATGACTGACTATTTTATGCTTAAACTTGTTAATGATTAGTTTACCCCAGCTTGTAGTGTAGAGTAAGTAAGTTTGTGATTTTATTATTGAATAATTTAGAAATTAGAAAATGAAAGTATGACACTCAAATTATTTTTATGGAAATTAAATACATTTTTCAGATGTTTCACACTATCTAGAACTTTGTAAGTTGTTTTCCTGCCGATAGTTATAGATCTTTAGCAAGCTATGTAAATTTCTGTGAAAAGTCTGTTAATATAATTTTGAAAAGCAGTTGCCACGTAGCATTCAGCTTTCTCCCAGGTTTGTTTGCTTCCGTGTTTGTGCTGGTGCCTCAGCTTTGCTCGTGCTCAGGAAGTGCTTCCCCCCACTTCAGCTGTGCCCGCAGGCCACTCCCCTTACCCTTTTAGATTGAGATCGTAAAAAATCTTTTAATTAGTATGTTTTTAGGAACATATCAATTACATGTTTGAATTGTTTTCTTTTTAAAATGCATGCTGGGCTGCTAGAACTTTTTAAAAACAAACACTTCAGAATTGAATTAGTGAAATTTTAACGTCAGATTGTTGACTACAAATAAGTACACATATCTATTAATTAATGAATTAATTGCCTGTAATAGATTTTCTAAAGATAACAAAATTGTTCACCCGGGATTGAACTAAGGACCTTGTCCTTTCAAGGCAGGCATGGTGCCACTGAGCTAAATCTCTGGCCTCAATTGTTCAGTATTAATATATATTGTATAATGATGTAAAATGAATTGCTGTGACAGTAAACAAGGGGTTTCCATTACTATACAAAACTAAATCTGGCAATGTTAAATTCAAATAGCAATTTCTTCTCTTTTTCTTTTTCTTTTTTTGAGACAGAGAATCTTGCTATGTAGTTGATCCTGGCCTTGAACTCACTATGTAGCCCAGGCTGGCTTTGAAATTGTGGCAATTCTCCTGCCCCAGCCTCCTGAGTGGTGGGATTACAGGTGTACTTTTAGCAAGACCCAGACTCAGAGAAAGGAATAGGAATGTAGCTCAGTGTTAAAGCACTTGCCTAGCATGTGCAAGGCACAAGAATTCCCAGGATCATCCTCAACGCTGCCCACCCCCATAAATAAAGTAAGGAAAATCATATTATTTACTGCTACAAATCAAATTTAGGTAGTGGGTCAGGAGGGGCTTGTGAAGTTGCTGTGTGACCTTCTTGGGTGGGTCACAGAATCACAAAATTTTCTGTGATGAAATTGAGATTATTGGAAAGATTTGGCATGTCCCGTTCAACTTTAAAATCCTGTGATTCTCCTACTTTTATTTGTGTATGTTTTTAGCTTTGTTTTCCGGAAAGTGCGAAGCCTGCTAGGGGGAAACATTCGCCTTCTACTGTGTGGTGGCGCTCCGCTCTCTGCGACTACACAGAGGTTCATGAACATCTGTTTCTGCTGTCCCGTGGGTCAGGGCTATGGACTCACAGAATCCACGGGGGCCGGAACAATCACGGAAGGTTAGTTCCCCCTGAATCTGTGGGGTGCAGTTTGTGGCATAGTTTCAGCTATGAATTGTTTTCTAAAACTGTGCCAGAGAAGAGTAGTGTAGGGTTTTTTTTTTTTTTTTTTTTTTTTTTTGTACCTGGGATTGAACTCGGGTCCTTGCCCTTGCAAGGCAGGCCACAGAACCGCTGAGCTAAATCCCCGGCCTGTGTAGGTTTTTGTATAGCAGAATAATAGTAAACTCTAGGTACTATGATCATTGATGCACAGTTTTAGACTGTATTAGATGTAGTATTAAAAATTATGTTCTGGAAAAGAAGCCTTAGTAACAAGCATTGCTTGTATTATGTACATGTATTTTCTCACATCAGTTATTAAATTTCTTTTTACATAGACAAAAATGTTTTCCCCTTCATTGTGAAGTATATTAAGGCTCAGATTCGGAAATATTTATGGCTGTTTCAAAGTAAGTATAGAAAGAAACTAGATTTTTAACAGTGTCATGGCCAGCATTTACCCTAGTCCTGGTTGAGGAGAGGTCCACTGCTGGTCAATGGTTCTCGGGTGAGTGTCCTGTGTGCTCCCCTCACAGCAGCATTATTTTGCTTTCCAGAACTGTTAGAAAAAGCTATGCTTCTCTTTGTATTTTCTAGATGCTTATTGATAAATACTGAGTATTTAAGTAAGTGAGCATTTTCTCTTACTTATCTTGAATGCTTCTTTATACCATTCTTAGATTTTTTTTACAAAATTTAGTTTTTTGTTTTATTTTGGTTATTTGAGACAAGGTTCCCACTGTGTAGTTCAGGCTATCCTTGAACTCACTATTTAGCCTAGGCTGACCTGGAACTCACAAAGATCCTCCTGCCTCCGCCTCTTGAGTGCTGGGATTTCAGGCATGTACCATCATGCCCTGCCAGATTTATTTTGTATTACTTCATTATCTTCTTGTTTTTTAGTAGTGTTCTCTATATAGTTTTGGGAGTTACTTATCTCATTTGCAGGATATAAGCAATCACAAATACACTCATAAGTAGTTGCTTTTGTAGAAACTTAATTTCTTCTGTTTTTAAGAATCAATAAATGTGTGATTAGTTTGTAACAGATTATGTTATTAATGGCAGTTTTGTTACATAATCAGCTTCTTAATCGCTTTGATTGCTCTTTGAGTGATAATGCAGTAGTAACTCGTAGCACTGGGGGTTCATTTCCTAGATCCTTGGAAGCTTTTGGTCTTGTTCTTCAGCCTACTCGGAGCTTCAGCCTGTTTGAATTTAAATGGGGTGTGAGAACATAAGCTGATGTGAGGCAGGCTGCAGTTTCCCTCTGGAATGGCGGTACTGGGTGGTCGATGGCGGAGTCGTTCTTCAGTGGTTTGAGGCCTGTAGAGAGTGAAATAGATAAACCACTGTGCTGCATCACCCTGCAAGATGGGATACGAAGCAGCAGCTACTTCCTCAGATGTGCTGGGCTCTGCAGTAGGAGCACATGATGGTTCAGAATTCCAGGGGAGCTAAGTACAGCGGCCCCGTCTCATAGGGCTTCAGTTGTTGCTGTGCCTGAAATGTGGGCCTCTTTTGCTGTAGGTTTCACACTTACATTAAAAAATTTCTTAGCCGGATGTGGTGGCGTACACCTGTAATCCCAGTACTCTGGGAGGTTGAGGCAGGAGGATTGCTTTGAGTTTGAGATCAGCCTGCTCTACATAGTGAGTTCCAGGTCAGCCTCAACTACATAGTGAGACCCTGTCTCAACAAACAGACACACAAAAAAAATTTCCTGTTTTAAAAAAAATGGTAGTAATTAATTCACATTGTACTGCAGAGACCACATAGCCCCTGCTTTACCAGTTTGTGACTTGTGCGTTTAAGGATTCTCTGGGGTTATCCAAGCATGGGGTAAACTATCATTTTTAATAATATAGAAAAATGAAGCAACTTCTTAACTACTGTTTTCAAATACATGTTTCTCTCTTGCATCTTAGTGTGGGACTACAATACTGGCAGAGTCGGAGCACCATTAGTTTGCTGTGAAATCAAATTAAAGAACTGGGAGGAAGGTGAGAACCTATTTCAACCACGTAGTATTTTTATAAGATTAGACTTTATAAAGTTAGAGGTGTGCTTTATTTTCTTCCTTATTTTAGAATATAAAATCTACCACAAGTGCTCATTTTTGTTCTTCATAAAATATATTTTATCTAGAGCTATATGGATGCATTTATATTGTTTCAAAAATAGTTTTGAAGAGTTATTTTGCTTATTATATAGGTGCAAGTAAGAAGTATAGCAGAAACTTAAGAAATGTGTGTAAATGAAAAATGTTAATAAATTAAGAATGGTAACTTGATTTTGTAGAAGCATTCTCATGTTTTTTCCCATGAGAATTTTTACATTTTTCTTTTCTTTTTTTCCTTTAATTTCTTTTCTCTGAGAGCTTAAACCTAGAATTATCAGTAGGAAATTTTTACTCTACTTTCATAAAGATTTGTTGTTTATGCACTGTAAAGTATATATTACTTTTTAAAAATGTATTTAAGTATAATAAAGTATACTGATTATCTGTGATTTATATTGAGGGTTGCTTTTCCTATAAAGAGGTGGTAAGGCTCCAAAGTAATTTTTCAAATGTTTTTTTTAGCACAATTAGTGAAAATATCCAATAAAGCTTCGAATCAGTCTAAAATTGTATTAACAAATCTTCTAAGTTTGTAGTCAATTGACTTTATGCAGAGATTGGCTGTTATATACTGCTTGACTTAATACTTTTATCACTTTATAAGCATGGTATTTAAGACTACAGAAACATCAAAAAAAAATGTAACCATGTAGTATTTGTAATAATTTCCCATAATAGAATAGAGGACAAAAAGGCTAAATGCTTATGGGTAAGCGACTAAAATATTGCCCTTGTTTATAAATTTTGGTCAGTTAGTGTCTGCCTTGTTTCCTTTGGAAAGCCTTAATTGGGTTAAATAAGATACTCCTATTTAGAAACTAAATAAAATGTACCATTTTCATGTGGGAATCACAGTGACAAAAGTACTGGACTAATTCTACATTATTCTATGTTTATTAGGTGGATACTTTAATACTGATAAACCACACCCCAGAGGGGAAATTCTTATTGGTGGCCAAAATGTGACAATGGGATACTACAAAAATGAAGCAAAAACAAAAGCTGACTTTTTTGAAGATGAAAATGGGCAGAGGTGGCTCTGTACTGGGGACATTGGAGAGTTTGACCCTGATGGTTGTTTGAAGATTATTGGTGAGTAATTGGATCTTTTTGAAAGGGCCTGACACTCAGGTGGCTTTCTGCTACTGAGTCTTTAGAGAAGCTGTGTAATAATGTAAGATTATGTCTTTAAGTGATGATGGTATCATCTCTTGTGTCTTCGCTAGAAGAACACAGAAACTTTTAATAAGGACTAAGGAATTGATGAGGCTTGAGGTCTTATGAGATGCCAAAAGGTGTTTACCAGCAGTGTTTTTTTAAGTGCTATTAAATCACTTTGGATTTCTTTCCTGCTCAGGCTGGGAGTGTTCATTTCTTGTGAATTGCTTGACATTTATAAGTTATTAAGCAGGGCTTTCCAGTCTGAATTTAGTCCTCTGCCTTACCCAAGAAAAAAAAGGAAAACCTGGCTGCTCACGTATTACATAACCCATATGAGGCAAAAGTTAACCTTCCGGGGCTTCTCCTCTTAAGGCCTCTTTTCAGTTAAGAGCATCTGTATCCCATTGTGCTAACCAGAAGCCCAGGAAGAGATGCAGGGCAGTACTCTTCCCTCCATTGAGCTCCCATTTCTGTCCCGGATCCCACTGATACAGAAGTGATGCCCTGACATCACACTCTTTCTCTGTCTTTCTGTCTGTAGGTTAGGCCTGCATCTCTGCCACCCCGTGCAGGAAAGTCCTGTTATCATGCTTCCCTAACACACCTTCTCCTTGCCACTGTGTGATAGTTCACCACTGACCTTGCCAGATCACTTTCTTGCTGAGTACTCTTCAACCACTTACCAGTCCAATTATTTAAATACAGGATGACCAAAAATTGAATATTTTTTCATTAATTTTTATAAGATAACTGGAAATATTAAAATGACAATTTTATTACATTTATTCAATAATTTTTCTGTGTATGGTATATCTTAAAACATTGAATATACAATACAACATTACAATCTGGACAGTAGTATCTATTCTCTTTCCACATTCTTTTTGCATTATTGTCTTTCTTTGACAAATACTCTTTATGCTGTCATATTGGCCTTTCCTTTTTTTCTGTGGATGATACAACATCAATAAAATGTCTACCTGTAATAGTGAAGATGTTGATGAATGGTGGGTGTTTCACCATCCCATATTTTTCACTTATTTGGCCTGCAAGACCTAATCTAAGTTGTAAATGATTTTTTGAACCACCTTGTTTTGAGTAAATAACAGACAAGTTCCATGTTGTTTGGTCCAGAAGTTATATAAGTATTTTATAATACTATTTTTTTCTTGCTTTTTCTTTTTGGTACCAGGGATCGAACTCAGGACCTTGTGCTTGCAAGGCAGGCATGGTGGCACCGAGCTAAATCCCCAGCCCTTTCCTTGCTTTTTAATTACAGGATTGTTTGTTAGATGTTGGTCAACTGTGTTACCACTACCCATAGAATTTGACCACTCTTGGAATTTTTAAAATTTCGTTCTAGCATTTCTACATTATAAACAGTTGACAATAAGACAACATCTTTTGTCTTTCAATTTCATAACAAAGACTTTTCTTCTCTGATACACTAACATTTCTTCCTTTTTCAGTTTTTTCTTCTGGAGATCTTTTGGCACTTCCTTCCTATTCAGTCTCAGTGTCCCAAATGTGTCCATTTTGTATTGTAAAAGAACAGCACTGATTTTTGGAGAAGTATAAAAATTAAATCTAACGTACTAAGGCTAAAATTTTTTATAGATTATATCACAAAACTATGTTATTTTTGACAAATAATTTCGTAAAGAAATATAACCAGAATTTATACAAACATCAAAGGCAAATAAAACATTCTAAATAAAAAAGTATGCAAAAAACAGTTGATATAAAACAAACAGATGTACAAGTGTATCTTGTGCAAACAAGGACTGTTTGAAATGACGCCTGCCCAAGTGACACTCCAGATAGTCAGTATTTAAACAAACTGTTCAGTGGTTAATGTCCGCTAGGAGAAGACCACCGTGTACTTCCTCACTTGCTTCATTTGTTTCTCTCTTCTTGCACGCAGTAGTTTGAGCTGATCCACTTCTGGCCTTTGTCGGTGCTATCCCACCTGGCTGCCTCTTACTCTTCCCTTAAGACTCAGCTAGGATCTCACCTGCAGAAATTGTTCCTAAGCCACAAGTTGCAGAGTCTTACCACTTAGTGCTACCATATGGGGTGAAGTAATCTGTTTTTGTGTTAATACTTCTCTCCAGGTAGATGTGGACTTGCTGCTAGTGTTCCACGTTGTCACCTGCCTAGCATTAATGGATAGGTACCATAAACATACCTGTTGAGCAGAATGTACTGGAAGCAAAACTCAGCACCTAATTTTATTATATACTTTTAATTTTATTGTAACATTTTATGGGCAATTTAGGAAACTGTTAAGTGATTTGACAGCAAATTACTTAGTAAATAGCCAGTGTTTGTATGTATTAGGCTGTTATTAATATTCTCAACATTTCATTCTCCCTGCCTTTGTTTTGCACAGATCGGAAGAAGGACCTTGTAAAACTGCAGGCTGGAGAGTATGTTTCTCTTGGGAAAGTAGAGGCAGCTCTAAAGAATCTCCCGCTGATAGATAACATTTGTGCGTACGCAAACAGGTAAGTGAGTAGAGTTCATGCTGCTGGTACTTTGTGCGCTGGGTGCGCCATAAGGGTTTCTACCTTTTGTGGGCCTCTTTATAAATACTCTGAGAATGCTTCCTTTGCTGTGATGTCCAAGGACATCCTGTCATCATTTTCTCTGTGTCTGTTTCTCCTTTATTACATCTCTATGAATGTCCTTTGTGATAGAGAGTTGAAAATAAAATCTTTCTTCCTAGTTGGCTGTCCTGCACAAGGAAGCTTCACAAAACAGTCCAGTCTTAAAGAAATGTCAGCAAGTGGCCTACTTTTCAGTACTTACTACCTTGCCTTCAGCTTTCACCTGCTTGGGCCTGGGGCGAGGGCTGGGAGCCGCCCACCTGGAGTTATATTAAATTGTGGCTAAACCCGTACCACCACGGCTGATGATGATATAGGCAGCTGGAAAGGGGTGCTCATATGGTAAAATCCTAGAACTGTTTTTTGAAAATGTGTTAGAACTTTAGATTAAAACTCTGACTATATTTTCCATAATAGTGTTGGTCTTACTAATTATACTCCAGTGATAATGATTGGATATTTTTCTGGTGAGGTACAACAGTTGACATTTAAATGAAAATAAAATCAAGTATGAAAACAACTTAGAATCAGACTTGAGGGGTATAGCCCAGTTTAAAGATGAACTTCAGGTTGAACTCCTTACTCACATGCTTAGAACAAAAAATGTTTTAGATTTTAGAGCTTTTTGGATTTGGGATTATTTGCATAGACGTTACCTGTACATTGATCTTTAAATGATTCTGCTCTTTTAAAAGCTCTTTCGTGTTTTCTTTAATGATGCTACAAATCTGGATTTTTACTTTCATTATAACTGGCACTACCCTTTTCTTCCTAATGCTGGTGCCATTTCTTCAGGTTAAAGTTTTACGGTCTTCAGAAAAATGTCTGCCTCTGGGCATACTTACAGGTCCTGTGTCAATACCCATTCTCACAGTATCCAAAGAGAAAGGATATATAGCACATTATTTTGAATTGTTACCAAGTTTCTTTAGATACACTACCTGATTTACGTTAGATTTTATTTTTTTCTTAACCTGTTGCCATTTCTGATTTAATGATTTTTTTCTGGGTCTCTAAATATTTGTAAATTTCTTTTTAAAAATGTGTGCATGGTGCTATTCATAGGAGTTACACATACTTGAAATTTGTCATGGTCAGATTGAAGTTTATTTAAGCACCACTGAACTCTAGAATAAATTTTGAATCAAACAATAAAACTGGGTGTTACCTGAAATGGGTATTTCAGAACTAAGCATGGCACATGCATTAAGAAAGATAGTAGTGCTTTACTAAATGTCAAGATAATCAGTAACTTTTTAAGGTAATAATAATATTCTGTGCCTCAGCTAAGTTTTCTTCATCTGTTTCAGTTATCATTCTTATGTCATTGGATTTGTTGTGCCAAATCAAAAGGAACTAACAGAACTAGCTCAAAGGAAAGGACTTAAGGGGACTTGGGAAGAGCTGTGTAACAGTAGTGAAATGGAAAATGAGGTCCTTAAAGTGCTTTCTGAAGCTGCTGTTTCAGGTGAGTGTTCTGTGAAGCTAATTCTGAGAAGTGGGGCAGTAAGACAATACTTAATATCTATTTAGCTTGTTGGGAGGGCCAGGATTCAATCTTTCCTGCTCAGAGACCATTTCTGCCATTAATAGATGCATCGATCTCCCGTTCAAGCCCCTCTGGAGAATACACACATCATCCGTTCCCTTGGTTCAAACAGGTGTACATGTCTGGAATATCCTCGTCCTTTCTGCCTGTTTTCTGACCTAGTCCTTGGCTTCCTGCTCAGTTTTCTGGCCACACTAGACCATGGTGAACAATCCAAGTGTCTTACTGGAGTTTTGTACATTGTTAGTTTACTGGTAATATGCTGTTCTCTGTGCTGTATTGTTTCTTTTTCTTTCTTTTTGTGCAAGACCAGTTTAATACAGTTGGCTTAATAAAAATAGCTATTCTTTTAGGACAGCAGTAAGTATAATACAAATGTGTTTTTATTCTACTTGGATGTCTTATAAGACTGTGAAAAATGTAAATTTGATTTAATCAAATGGAGACATTATTCTGGCCTTGTATTTCAACCATAATTTTGTTTCAGAGTGTATCACCTTGAACAATCTTGGACTGATGCTAAATTGATTGAATTAATTAATGGATATTCCCTAAAAAAACCTACATAATTTCTGTGTAAAATACAGTACTGGAACATTGAAAACTAAGCATAATACAGTTTTTGCTTCTTTCATGCTTAACAGCTTTATTAAGATATAGTCAACTTGCATATGACTTAATGTTTAATATGCACAACTCCATAGTGTTTAGTGCACTGCACTGTGCTCACCTAGCTGTACATCCACCCCTGCAGTCAGTGTTACAGTACCGTTGTCTCCCAGAAACACACTCCATGTCTAGGTTATCAGCCGTTCTTGTTTATCCTCCAAATCCTTGTCTCTCAAAAACTACTAAGTAATTTTCTCTTTATGAGTTTGCCTATTCTAGAGATCTTACATAAGTGGAATCGTACAGACTATACCTTGTGACTGGTTTCTTTCACGTAGCAGAGTGTTTTCAGAGTCCTCCGTGCTGCAGTCTGTATTAGTGCCTCATTCTCTTTTATTGCCAAGTAATAACTATGGACATATGCTGCATTTTGTTCATCCATACAGCAGCCAGGGGACAGTTGTTTTCACTTTTGGTGGTTTTAAGACTCGATGAACATCCACGTTTGGGCTTGTGTGTAGACACATGCGATTTCCTCTTGGAGAGGTGCCTGATGAGTGGAATTGATGGGATATAGGTTAACTTTATATTAGCCTTTGGGGAGAATAGCCAGAAAACCTTCTAAAAGATTTTTTCCCAATGTTTTCTGAATAGTTTTCCAAAGTGCTGGCACTGTTTTACATTCTGACCACTGGTTTGCCAGGTAAACCTGGCAGTTTTTTGTTTTTTTTTTCTTGTCAGTAATTTACTAGGTTATCCCACATCTTTTTTAGCTTGCAGGCTTTTCTTCTAAGACTTAAGACCCCCTCCCCCATTTTTGTCTAGTTTTCTATTTGTGCTTACTTTTAATTCATGAGGCATTTTTATGACCGTTGAGTTCTTTATCCAGAAAATTTACATGTTTGTTTCTTTGGGCACAGTTTATGGAGATTTAATTTGATTTCTTATAGGCCAAATAGGCTATATTTCGCTGTTTTTAATGTATCTCTTATTATTGAGACTCGTTTCTGAAAAATCAGCCACCTTTCTTAGTGTTTGCAATCTGGTTTTATGCTGGGAAGACTTTCCTCTACTCAGCCCTGCTACAGATTCTGGAGCCATCTATGCTTTATTTTGTAGGGATGCATCCTCTCTGGATTTCAAATCTAGTTGAAGAGAGTTGCTGGTTTTTACTTTGCACTCCCCCTGGCATGTGCTTCTGTTACTGTATGCCTTTGTTCTAGACAGTCCATCTTGGTGCCCTCTTCCTGTTAGTGCTTTGATTAGGGTAAGACAGAAACTAGTTCTTTCTGTCACATGACAGAAGTCAGAATGTTGGAGGTTTCTTCCCTATTCCTCTGTACTGTGCTGAAGAGAGCTCTGGCAAGCGAATGCCACATTTTTTTTTTTAAACCAGACATCAGTGTGGATGGATTATACTTTCCTGGAGTACAAGAACCTCTTAACTGGTTTCTGAGTTTCTCACACAGGCAGTACATGGGTCTGTGTATTATTGTTAAGTTGATGTCTGCGGTGGAGGACTAGGAACTGGCTTTTTGTATTCTATCTTTCATTTTTCCGTATGTTGTAATGCATGCCACTTGAGAGTGGAAACTATTCTTTTGTATTTTTCTAAGAATGTTTAATAAAGCTTCTTATACAGTACTCATTTTTTTACAATACATACATGTTGAATGATACTTTAAAATAAGCCAGTCTTTTTTTTTTTTTTTTGGTGCTGGGAATCGAACTCAGGATCTTGTGCTTGCCAGGCAGGTGCAGCACTACTGAGCTACATTCCTGTTCCAAAAGCCAGTTGTATTAAACAACATGTTTCTTCAAAACCATATGTCTCTCAACCTCCTTCTGATGTGGCCCTTTCCTCTTCTCTCTTCCTACCTCCCTCATTCATCTTCTGTTATAAATCTGTTAGCTATTAGAGTGTGTTAGCAGTACACTAGCGAGTAAGCATTCTGTCTCTACAAGTGACTATTCTGGCTTAATAACAAAATTCTCTTCAAACTTTTATAACTTTTTAATTTCTAAAATAATTGTAAAATAAAATTCTCTTTCCTTTCTCTTGGATCCCAGTCCTAGAGGTATATGGTTTATACTTGGTGAGTATTCCTTCATCCAGCAAATATCGATGCATTAGTACCCAGCTTTGTGCTGCAACTTGCCTTTCTCTTAACATTGATTGATTGGATGCCCTGTTGATAGATTGGATACCCATATGAGTCTAGGTCATTATTAATGATAAATATATTCCATTTTATGACTGAACTATAATTTTACTTAATTTCCTGTTGATAAGTAGTTAAAAATTATTTTTCTATTTTAGTTCTTGTGCTTTTTTCCTTCCTTCACACTTATTTTTGAGAACTGCGTTACTTAGAAATGAGGTACATGGTTGTGGATTTTGGTGACTGTTCTACTAGGGGAGTTGTACTACTTGCTAAGAACTTTAAGTGCACATTTTTAATTCCTTTTTCATTTTTTTAATCATCTCAGCAAGCCTGGAAAAGTTTGAAATTCCAGTAAAAATTCGTTTGAGCCCTGAACCGTGGACCCCTGAAACTGGTCTGGTGACAGATGCCTTCAAGTTGAAACGCAAAGAGCTTAAAACACATTACCAGGCGGACATTGAGCGAATGTATGGAAGAAAATAATTATCCCTTCTGGCATCAGTTTGCTGCAGTGAGCTCAGATCAAATAGGAAAATACTTGAAATGCATGTCTTAAACTGTGAGGCAAACTCCGTTCTTCGTGTTAAACTTCTAAACTGTTATTTCTCATGACATCACCGTTTTTAACTGACAGGCTTAGTAAAATACTAAGACAGCAACTTTGTGTCTGTCTCTGATTTCTTTTTCCTCTTTCGGTTTACTTCACCACCTATGACTGCTTGTCAGGAGAAATTTTCTGGATCATATTGGGGGAGCAGTGATTTTAAAACCTCAAGTTTTTAAACATGATTTATATGTTCTGTATAATGTTCAGTTTGTAACTTTTTAAAGTTTGGATGTATAGAGGGATAAATGAGAATATAAAAATTGGTTATTTGGGGGCTTTTTTACTTAATGTATTTAAAAATACAAGGGTATTGATGTGAAATTATGTAAATTTAAAATGCTTATGAATCAAATCATTGTTGAACAAAAGACTTGTTGTATAATTATTGTCTTGTATGCATTTGAGAGAAATAAATATACCCACACTTATGTTTTAAGAAACTGAGATCTTGTGAATATATGCCTGCCAGTGTCTTCTTTATGTTTCCTTCTTTCCTTATTTATTTATGAGACAAGGTTTCATTATGTAGTTCCAGGCTGGTCTCGAACTTGTGGCAATCATCCTGCATAAGCTTCTCCCAAGTGCTGGGATTATAGGCGTGCACCAGCATGCCAAGCTATGCATTTATTTTTTATTGGGAAGAAATATAGTTTGGTACTGCATGAAGCAAAATAGCAATAGTGGAAGGGAGCCATGGTTTCATAATAAAGGAGACACAGGATACAGCAGATGTAGCACCAGTTGACAAGTAGTCTTTGATAACGTACTCTCCAGATGTGTTCAGGAAAGTAGCCAAGATCAAATGGGCACAATTCTGAAAAGAGTAGAATTTCAAAAACAAAGGATAGAAGGTTATGTTTTATTTCATTGGCCACATGTACATTTAATTGTTTACATTTATGAACACATTCAATCATAGAAAATTATTCTACCCCCAATACCCCTAGACTATTTTTATTGGAGATATTTAATTATATGTCTAATTTTTAAATTGGTATTTTTAAATAGTTTGCACTGATGTTTGTGTGTGTGAAAAAGATACTAAGTGATAGCTTATTACAGAGCACTTTATATCACAATCTTTACTGGAAAGTGAAATAATTTAGAATGCTTCTAGTAATAGCATTCTAAGATACAAAAGAATTTAGCTTTATAATGAAGTGTGTTAAGATTTGATTTTGATTCATGTCAAGTTACTTGTGACTCAAAAAACACACTTGGTAAGCCTTTATATGTATTGTTATTTCTAGATCATTAAGACTAATTTTGCATGAACTAAGATGCTCATATTAGGATTTAAAAAGTCATAGACACCACATTCTTCATGTCAGACTAGTTATTCTCTTGATTCTTACTTAGTTCAGGCATCAACAGGCAGAAAAGGAAATGTAGAAGCGGGGAACACAGATCAAGGCCGAGGGAGAGGAGTTGGGAACCTTGTCAGATCACAACATGTCCAGAGATACTGCAGTATGTTTTTTCTTTGGTTTTCAACCCTTGTATTCCTTATATTGTGTATTTGTACTATGTTTTAAGTATTTCTCTCTGTCATAGTTCAAATTTTGATGTTTGGGGGAAAACTGCCACAAGAAGTAAACATAGGGAAGAAAGCAAATGGAACTTCTTTGTATCAGCATGCTGTGATCTAAAAACAGCAGGGCGGGGATTTAGTTCAGCGGTTCGGTGGCCTGTCTTGTAAGCGCAAGGACCTGAGTTCGATCCCTGGTACCAAAAAAATAAAAAATAAAATAAAATAAAATAAAAAGAGTAGGTAGAATTTGTTTATAATGCTTCATTTTTAGAATAGCTGTGTTCATAAATAAAAACATTATAATTAAACAGAAGCTCTAATGCTTTAAAGAAAACCTAATGCATAAGATGAAATGTCAGATGAATAGGTGGCTTACCTCTGATCCAGAGGAAAACAACTCATGCTGCTGCTTTAATTTTGTTAAGTCACATTTGTTTTTGTGTATGATTAAATTGCATAATTCCTTTCAGTCCTAAAAGGGTAGATGTCAGAGGTCAGTGCAACAATAGAACATTAATAAGTGAACTTTCCTTTCAAATCACTTCCTAATCCAAACCATCTTTAGTGATTTGAAAGATCAAATCCTTATTCCCCTTTCAAGAAGAAAAGTTGGTCAGTTAACAAGTGTGTGGTGACATATATCTGTAATCAATCCCAGCTACTTGGGAGCTAAGCCAGGAGGATCACAAGTTGGAGGCCAGCCTGGGCTACTTCGTGAAGCCTTGTCTTAAAAAGGGGTGGGTATAGAGCACTTACTTAGCATAGGAGAGGCTTTCGGTTCAATCTCATCCCACAACTGTTTGACAAGAAATATTGCATAAATGAGGTAATACTTCAGGAAAACTATTTTGAAATTCCTAAATCTAATATGCATACATGAAAGTAGAATATGAATCCTAAAACATGTTCTTCAGTACTGGTTTCTGGAAATCCCAAGTTTTATGGAGAATCCTTCAGCATTTCATGTTACAGTAAGTACAGCAGTTTAGAGTCCGCAGACTACTGGCTGCCACCTCTCCCCCATCCCCATAATTTTTTTTTTACCTTAAAATTAATTAAAAAATTTTACTGACAGTAGAACAAAGTGGTATCTACCCTTCTAAATACTGCTTTGTTTTATAAATACTGAAGTTGATATCCATGATGTCCTCTGAAATTTGTAATTTTTCAGCAGTGTTTAAAAACATTAACAAATTAACGTGGAATAACTCTGCTTGCTGCTAAAATACTCAAGATTTTACAGCTTTTAAACAATCCCTGTGATACAACTTTAAATTTTTTTGGAAAAGGTGTTGGTTCCTTTGATAAGAACGTTGTATACATCTGGTGTTTTATAGATGGGCCCACTTGGAGCAGTGTACAAATTGGATCACACTGAAGTGTCATTTACCGTGAGTTCACTTCTTGTGTTCATTATTACTGTCCTGAGGGGCTATACGTCATAGGAGATTCATCGCTACGTGGTGTGGACTTTGACGTTTGAAGAGTAAAGATAAGTAAAAATGAAGGTTTCCGATACTAAAACAATTTATAGTTTTTCTGAAAAAGAAAAGCCTCCCCCCGCAAAGCCAAAGTTCAATTGATATTGCTGAAATACTTGTTGAAAAAGAAGTTTGAGGAATTTTCTTTCCTGGCCTAGCAATCCATCTGAAGGATGTAACAGTTGTAACAATTGTGTTCTTAATTTTATTTCCTAGTGTTCATGTGTTCTAACTTGGCCGTAATCCTTGAGTTTCTCCTTTTCATTTCTCACTTTTGGTTTTTTTTATTTTCCTTTGTGTTTTTGTTTTGGTACAGGGATTGAACTCTGGACCTTGGCACTTGCAAGGTGGGTGGCAGAACCACTGAGTTAAATCCCTGTCCCTCCCTTTTGATTTTGACTGCAAGGAAGCGGTGCTGTCAGCAGTTTAGTCAGTACTGATAAAAATAGAGATTGTAAATAAATTCAGCATTAACATTTGATGGAAGCAATGCACTGATATTTTATCCTATGATGGTTGGAGGAAGGGTTATGCTGTTATGTTTCAGAAGGCAACTACTCTGCCAGTCAGTTTGTTTCTGGCAAAACTGGTCATATGTGACTTTGTAGTAACACACTTTAATAAAAGCATGACTTTAGTCCTACTGTAGCACACTCAGGTATTTTTACATAAGCTTCTGGGAGCTTCACTGTATTTTAAGTTTTTGCATTAACAGTATTGTGTTTCATTTCATTATCTTTACTCAGATTATTCTTTTAAAATACCAGCTCCAAATGTATACATGATTTTAGGATAAGGCAGGTGTGTATTATCAAAAGAGTCCGTGTTGGTTTTCCATTGCTGTGACAAGACAGCTAAGGAGAAAGAGCTTGACTCACTATGGAAGTTCGGCCCGTGGTCACTTGGCCCTGTTTTGGGGGCCTGTCATGAGGCAGAACATCATGGCAGGAGTGAACAAGTTGTACAAGTAATGAGAGGGGAAAGGTCAGGATCCCAAGGACCTCACTTCCGCAGGCCCCACCTCCTGAAGGTGCTACCTGCTGGGCAGCAAGCCTTCACAGGAGCAGTTTTTAAAAAAGACCCACACCATAACAGATTCTTACATGATGTGAAACAGCAGGCCGTGCATACACACATAGCTGCATGCAGGTAATAATACTTAATCTGATAAGGAAAAGCATTTCCCTGATTCCCTTTTAAGAGTCCACGTCCAAGCACATAGGTTGCAAAGGCCCATCCTTTTCACCACCACCTGGGTCAACCAGTGCCTTAACATGGTGCAAGAAACTGTTAGGTGATTGAAAATATGGACAGAATTATGGCTGTGTGTGCATGCCTCCTTGTCCTGTTATGTGCCTTTTTCTAGTCCAGTTCAGACTTGTTCAGAACACTTTTAGCAAACCCTTCCCCACTAATACCAGTATTTAGCGATTTGTGTGACTTTGTGGGGTTCATCAGAAGTAGCTTCTCTGTGATTCCTTTTTATCTTAGTCCTCAGTTCCTTGTGAAGAAGGGAAAGGTGGTTCTCCTGTGTGGTCTTTTGTTATTCAATAAAATGAATACTTCCACACAGATGACTTCCACGGAAAGGTTCTCTGCAGTGTGGGTCTGTGTGGGGTCTTTTGATGCTGGAAGTTTTCCTTTTCAGCGCATTCATGGCCTTTGGCTGGAAAGTGTCCCTCATGTTCCAAGGGATGAAGTGCAGCTGCAGCTCTCCTCTTGCTTCTGCCTTTGAAGCTTTCTTCCCAACCTGAGTTTTTTTTTTGTGTTTTGTCAGGGGCTGGCTCAGGTGAAGATAGAAACTGACCTGTTTGTGGAGTTTTCCAGAATGGACTCTTCATTCACCAAGGATGCTTTATGGATGAAGATTTCCCCATTTTCAAAATAGGATTTAAAAAAAATGTATTGATCAAGAATAAGGCAGTCTTTAGAAGTAATACTATACCAATAATTTACAAATATAGAATGTTATGATTTGTCACATGAGTAAGGCAGTGGCTCTCAAAAACCTTTTGGTTCTAGATCC